TTAGAATCCAGCCCTGGATGAGGCACTGGTGAGGGAGAGCCCCTTCCCACAGCCGCCTCAGCACAGGGCCTTTGTGGGACTTTAAAGTCCAAACCATAAAGGATGCTTAGAATATTTTCTTACATTATATCTACTTAATAAATGCCTCAGTGCGTATGTGGAGATAAGAGGGCATTTTGTGGGAGTCAGTTGTTTTCTATGACCATATGGGACCTGGGGATTGAATTAGGGTGGTTGGGTTTGGTGACAAGGGCCTTTCTCTGCTGAGTTATCTCTCTGACACTGGCCCTCACCCCATGCTCCGGGTCTCACCTGTGCTAGGTAAGTGTTTGTTTTCTTTTCTGATGCTGTGATAAAACACCATGACCCAAAGCAACGTGGGGGAGGAAAGGGTTTATTTCAGCTTATACTTCCACATCACAGTCCATCACTGAGGGAAGTCAGGGCGGGAGCTCAGGCAGGGCAGGAACATGGAGGCATAGAGGAGAGCAGAGCACAGGGAGAGCTGCTCGTGGCTTGCTCAGCTTGCTTCCTGATAGCTCTCAGGACCACCAGCCCACGGGTGACACTCCCCACAGGGATCAGGGCCCCCCATATCCCACAGGCCATTCTGGAGGGGACATTTTCTTAGTTGAGGCTCCCTCTTCCAAAATGACTCCGGCTTATGTCAAGTTCATGTAAAACTAGCCAGCACAGAGCTCTGCCACTGAACTTACATCCCCAGAGCTTTTGCTCTATTTTGAGACAGGGTTTCACTACGTTGCCCAGGCTGACCTTGAACTCAGTCTACAGCCCAGCCCAGCCTCCTGCCTGTTTCCTGAGGGCCTGTATCACCAGGTCTGGCTCAGCCCGACTCCTAATGGGGTTAAACAGCAATATGTAAATCTTCTAAGAAAAGTTCTTTGTATGAAGCACCCTATCACCGTGTGTGATCAGGGTGTCAACAGGGACCTCCTTGTCTTTTCACAGACATCTCCAGAAAGGAACGGAAGAATCCACTCCAGAGTGTTGTCCCAGGAGACAACACCATCACCCCATGGTACAGTGTCTTTGTGGCACCTGAGTTTGTATTTCAGTCTGGTACTGTGAGCATCTGTAATTGATTCAGAAATCCATGTAGACCGAAGAGCTGAGGTCACCCGGGGCTTGTGGGGAGGCAGGGAGTCCATGAAGAGCTGCACCCCACACAGGCCTCAGAATACATCTGTGTTCAGCGGCGGAGTGGGGATGTCTGGGATTCTATCCGTGAACCCCTGTTCCCACGTGTCCTCTGTAACACTGTCTGCCACCGTGACAGAAGGACAACAGCCATGCCCTGGGGGATGTGAGACGGTGAGTGTGGAAGGCCTGCTGTCCCACGGGCTCTTCGATGCGATCCTTCCCCATCCCTGGACAGCACGGCTCTCTCTTTATGGAGACTCTGTGTAGAGCAGGGCAAAGTGCCAGGCCATAGTTGCCATAAGTCAGCTAGGGTGGGTGGAAAATGACGGCCTCAGATAGGCTGTCTGGGAAATGGCGTGTCTCTCCAACCACAACCACCCCCGCATTTCCCTCCAGCGTGAGGAGGCTTGGGGGGCGGGCGGTGATACCAATGTCATTTTAGGCCTGTACTCCAGGTCCTCTTGGACATGATGCCTTGTGGGTGGGGACTGTGCCTATGGAGAGGCTCTGTGCCTGTGAGAGAGTCACCAGGAAGCCGATGGCAGAAACACTTGCTCCCCTGGTGCCGGATGGAGCCTGCAGGCCATAGGGAACCACTGACAGCCAGGCAGGGCTTGTTCAGAACCAGCTTTCAGGAGCACAGCTGGCTCAGGCGAAGGTGACAGGTTGGGGGAGGAGTGGGTCCTCACAGGCCACCTGCCCAGTCCAATTTCTCCAGCATTATCTCAGTCTTCACAGTAATTCCGTAAGCAGGACGGGGCTATTGTCACCTCCTTCTTACCACTGAGGAAACAGGGCCCCAGGGAGGTGGTGACAGCAGGCTTTGTCATCTAGCTTGCCCCAGTAGAGTTAGGGTGGGAAGCCAGGCTGTGCCCTCCCCAGAATCCGCACCTGATCCTTCTCCAGGGAGATATTTTTAGCTGGCTGGTGTCATTTTGATTGTACCTTTTACTAAGTGAGGCCTTGTACCTGTCTTGGGAGGCATTACTAAAGTGGAGACTGTAGTCCCCACCTGTCTCTTCAGGGTTTCCGCTGGGTCCTGGGAGCTGCCACCTGGGCCCTGCTTGACCTCTGTGAGTGGGGACATTTGGGCAGCCTGCAGGCAGAATCTTGTGTGGGTCACTGCTGTATATCTACAGCCCAGCCCTGGCCACATAGTAGGTACTCAGTAAAGACCCAGTGAGCATCCAGTCATCTGGTGATGGCAACCTAGGCTAAAAGAACACATTCACAATGCCATCCAGGGTGAGGGCAAGATGAAGGACCAAGCCCCCTCAAAAAATGGGGTGACTTGTATCCAGCTAGGATCTTCATAGATGCTTGTGGAAGGCATCTGGGGATGATGTAGCCCTTAGGTGGGACACAGGTTCTTTTTTTTTTTTTTAAGATTTTATTTATTATGTATACACCACTTCATGTATGCCTGCAGGCCAGAAGAGGGCACCAGATCTCATTACAGACGGTTGTGAGCCACCATGTGGTTGCTGGGAATTGAACTCAGGACCTCTGGAAGAGCAGCCAGTGCTCTTAACCTCTGAGCCATCTCTCCAGCCCCGGGACACAGGTTCTTGTTGGCCTATTTATCAAAAGCTCCTAAATGATCATGTGTATGATGGTGGCATGGTGGCCAGCTACTTGCTCTATAGACACAGAAGTCCTCGGCCAGGGTCTAATAATAGATCCCAACCCCTCAACTTCCTGGGCCTCGCTCCTTCCTTGTCTAGACAGCTATATGTGGTGGCCAGGAGGCTGCCCAGGGTGGAGGTCCTCTCTCCATCAACCCCCAGCCTTGCTGCACATGAGGTACAGGGACAGTTGATGTGACTGGACCATGATGGTGGCATGTGAGAGGGACTCAGAAGCCACAGGGCTTGGGTGGATGGAGAGAGGAAGTTGGGGGTGAAGACAGAGGAGGCTGAGGCCACCATCTCAGCCCAACCAGCAATGGAAGCAAGAGACATCCATCCCGAGAGGAGTCAGTTTGAGATGTGTTGCAGGGCTGTGGTTGCAGGGCTGTGTATATGTGCGCGCACACGTGTGTGAGCATGCATTCTGCGGGGAGGTGGGGGTCCAGCAGTGGCCGAGCAGGGGCTAGCTATAACTGAGTACCCGGACTAGAGCTGGCTTCCTGAAAGCCTAGACCTGCAACCTGCCCAGAGGCTGAGACCAGTGTTGCCAGAGGGAGGCCTAGCCACAATGAGGCTCTTCAGCCCTTGGCTTGTTGGTAGGAGTCAGCTTTTCATCACCTGACGAGATTTATTGGCGTCTCCAGAGAGCTGCCTGCCAGAGGCCTGGCAGGCAGCAGGGCTTCCTGGCTGTCTACCCAGAGCCAAGGAATCAGACAACAGCATCGGCTCTGTCCTGCTGGAGCACAGCCAGCTGTTGGGCACAGATGTTCAAGGAATGAGTCTTGCTAAGCAAGAGGACCTCAGTGAATATATATTTGCGGGTGCTTGGGTCCTTCCTGATGTTATAGATGGGGAAATAGAGGTTGGAGTGGGGAAGGGACTATCCCAAAGTCACACATCACTTCTGGGTTCTAGTCAAGACCAGAAGCCAGGCTTAGGGGCAGTGAATTCAGACTGCTGAAACAGCCTTGTTGATGGACATCTTTGTGGACTGTCTCCCTGAGAGCGGTGACCTTGGGAATTACTTTTCTCATGGCTTAGACAGAGTCAAACACCTGACAAAGGAACTGAAGGGAAGAAGGGTTCATCTGGGCTCATGGCTTGAGAGTGTGGTCCCCACCATGGCAGGAAAGATGTGGGGGCAGGCCTGTGAGACGGCTGGTCACATTGCATCTGCCATCAGGAAGCAGAGAGAACCAAATGCTCAATGCTCAGCTTGCTTCCTCCTTTATGTTTAGTTCAGGACTCCAGGGCACATTCTGTCTCTATTAGCCTAATCTAGCTAATCCCTCACACAAGTGCCAGAGCCTTGTCTCCTAGAAGAGTCTAGATTCTGTGAAGCTAACTAAATGAACCACACACCCTGTGTGTCTTGTTGATGGCTCTGATGCGAGCAGCTAAAGCAGGCCTTGTGCACACGTGGCAGTCGGGCGACAACTTGCTGGAGTCAGTTCTCTCCTTCCTTCATAAAGGTCCCTGGGATTGAACTCAGGTCGTCAGGTTTGGCAGCAAGCACCGTTTCCCACTGAGTCATCTCGCTGGCCCCAAAACAAGCCATTTGCTGAACTCATGCAGGAAGTCAGAATACCTGGACAGGTTTCTTCACAGTATAAAATGTTCAGGGGAAGATGTCTGGGCCTGGGACAGACTTTTTGGTGTCACTAGGGACCTGGGCTCTGTCTCGTCCTTCCAAGTATGATATAGATTTTGTCCTTGTGATTCCAAAAGAGCTGCTGTTACTCCAAACATTGCAGTTGCCTTTCTGGGAGGAAGGCAGTTCAGATGATGGTGAGAGGACCCGTGTTTTTGGAATCTGTGCCCTTTAAATCAGAAAAACGGTAAGTTTCCTAGAAGTGCCTGAATGGCAGGCTGTTTAAAGCATAAACAGCCCTCTGCCTTGCTTTTTTATTTTTAGCTTCTCTCAGGGGCGGGGCCTATTATTTTTGTTTGGTGGCCGTTGTTGTTTTATTTGATTAAATAAAAATCCCCTTTGTGGGGGAAATGCCCTATGAGGTAATTCTTACTAGAGTGTGAGTTACAGGTGCTACCTTGGTCACTTCCTAGGAGGGTGGGGTAACAGTGTGTGTGTGTGTGTGTGTGTGTGTGTGTGTGTGTGTGTGTGTGTGTGTGTGGTGGGACAGTGTGACCACTCACTCCCTAGATCCGAGCTGGAAGAGAACAGGGTCTTTGCCTCCAGGTCCTGGGCCCTGCTCCTCTCCCATAGCACTGGTCACACCCATTCCCCCCATGCTGGGTCCTGGTGGGTGTTCAGAGCCAATTTTCAACCAAGGGCACAGTTGGGCTGTTTAGATTAGTTACAAGAGTCCCCGCCAACCGTGGGGGTGGTGACCCCGAGGCCTTCTGTCTGCAGGACCCAGGGAGGTCTCAAAATGTGAGTGTGTGTAACTCTGCCCCCACCCCCTCCAGGCAGCCGTGGGCTCTGCACTGCCTGGAGGATGGAGGGCTCGACACATAGCCTCAGAGCAGGGTTCTCTGAAAGCCTGGAACTCACTGGAGACCCGAATCTACCTGGCCCAGGTCTCAGGCTATGTTTGCCAGGGTGACTCTCAGAGAGCCATGTCTTCTCAGCAAAATAGAGGCACAGGTAGGCCTGAACCAGCACACCGGGTGGGACTGAAAGGGACAAGGTGTTATCTAGCTTCTCATATTTCCTGTGACTCTACCTTTGGGCCTATAGGTCTCAGTTCCAAGCCCCAAAGATAGAGGAGGATGAGGTCACAGTGCACCAGCAACATAATATTTGTGAGCAGGCAGAAGACCCCAGAGTGGCCACCCAGGGTTAGAAGAGGCCCCTGGAGCTGCCCCCCAAAGCTGCCCTACTCACAGCTGCCCACATTAGCCCTGAGGAAGACCTGCTTCCTAGAAGGTTCTGCTGCTGGGCTGTTGTATATTCTCCCTCAGACCCAGGTCAGCTAGGAGTACATCAATATCCTTCTTGCCTTCCTTCCCCAGCTGGAGCTGGGGGTGACTTTCAAGGGAGGGCTCGATCAAGGACATTACATGTGAGAGCGGCAATGGCAGTCAGACGGTCCCACGTGGAGGCGCGCTAGCGGCTATCTGGGTTGGCTGAAAGGACACAGACTCCCACGCGCAATGTTGAAGTGTGAAACCTGGTGGGTCTGTGAGGGTTATTTTTACCTCCTAGCCTGTAGGTGGAGAGGGGTGTTCTGAGCCGGCCCTAGCCCCACAGAAAGAGTGGCAATTGAGCACTGAGCAGAGAGCGCACTCCTCCTCCATGGGGGCAAGTCTGTTTAGACTGGAGCATGCTGGGACACGTGACAGTGCAGGACCCCCACCAGGAACTCAGTCTCCTCAGGAGAGCGATGTGCCAGGCTCTCAGAAGTCTCACCAGAGAGCACGTCTGCAAAGACACTTCTGTATTCCTGATTTATTTTATTTTTTAGCACTGGGGCAGGAACCCAGCACCTCACATGCTACCTAAGCACCCTGCCACTGAGCCGAGCCCTCAGGCCTCTCTTTTTGAGGCTATGTCTCCCTAAGTTGCCCAGGCTAGCCCTGAACTCACTGTGTAGCCCAGACAGGTCTTGAACCTTTGATCCTCCTGCCTCAGCCCCTTGGGCAGCTAGGATCATAGATCTGCTCCACCAGACCTGATGCAAGGACAGTTTTGTGAGCAGATTGGAGCCTACCCTCCATTCCTTGTAACCTAGGTGATTGCAGGGGGTCTGAGCTACCCAGGGCTCCAGCAGCCAACAGGGAGTGTGCAGCTATGGTGGAAGAAACTCAGGCCTGCGGTTTCTACTAGGAAAAGGGTACCAGGAGAAGTCTGTGCTGCTGTCCTCTGCATGTTCTAAGTTTTCCTCTGGGAAGTGGGCTTATCCTGGCCATCGCTCTGTGCTTGAAGAAACAGAGGCTTGTAGACAGTTGGGGCCCAACCACAGTCACTACCAGGAGTTGGGGGTTCAATGCATATGGATAGAGAGGGTGACCTCCGTGGAGGGTGCATGGGTATTAGTATCTAGTAAAGAGCAAGTCACCACAAATAACAGGAGTTTGTTGTCTTACAGCCTGAAGGCTGGGAGCCCCAAGTAGGTGTCCCACAGCTGAGCTCTGAGAAAAGGAACCTCCAGGTACCGATCCCCTCTTCTGCCTCTTCCAGCTCCTAAGAGCAGCCTGCCCTCCTCGGCCCATGGACTCAATCTCTACCTTCAGAGCCAGCAGCGCTGTGACATCTTCCTGCGCAACTGACGTCTGATCACTTCCTTCACTCAAGGGCCTCTGTGAACCGTCTAAGACCGTCTCTTGATTTTAGATTTATAACCTGTTCCCTCTCTAGAAGTCTCTTTGCCATGTAGAAGAATTGCAAGCACAGGTTTTAGGGTGGCCAGGTGGGTGTCGTGGGGTGCTCTGTCCTGCCAACAATGGTGCTTTTGAAGATAATGGCCACCCACTCCTCAGGACAGCTGTTGGGAGGAGACGTGCAGGTCAGGTTCATTCCAGAGGGGATTGCAGAGTGACCGAGCCAGATGCAGGGGACTCCCTGGCACTCTAGGGCTCCGCAGGTAGACAGTGCAGAGAGTATGTGTATATGTAGCAGTATTTGCAGCTCAGCCCACGATTTAGGATCCAGCAGACCAGGGTTCAGATCCCATCTCTGCTTCCTCTCAGGCCTCTGGCAGGGTGTAGATGGAGGTGTGGGCGGGGCTGCTATGGAGGAAGTCAGCAGATGCTTCCGGTGACCTCATTTCACCTGCACTGCAGCCTCTGTAGAAACAGCAGCTCAGAGAGGCCAAGTTCTCTTCTTGAGATAGCACAGCAGCTGGGAGGGGCTGGGCTTTCCCAGGCCTTGGGATTTCAAGCCAGGCTGTAGCTGCCCTGTACTCATGCATGGAAGGCCTCCTTCCCATGTCCTTTAAATCCAATGACCACCTTTTAGTTTAATGCATCTGTTTTAAAATGGAGCTTTATAAGCTCCCACAGGTGGGAAATAACAGAATTCATGGGCCGGCTATATATATTTTTATAAGGCATATTAAAATAAATTTATCACTATAAAAGCAAAAATGTCTGTCCTCAGTTTTATAAAGTGATGTCACACAAAGCCTTATCCCTCATCTTAGAATTGGCTCTGCACCTGTTTCTTCAGACCATAACAGTATGACCAGCTATCCCTTATCATGGTCTGTGCTCCCCTCCCCCACCTTCCCAACCATTGCACCTGACTCCCCAGGGCCCTCTGGGGTCTCCCAGCCCTGCTCAGCTCTATTCCCTCCACCCTGGCTCCTCTGTAGCTCTGGTCACCCAGCTAGAAGTTGTCAAGATTCGAGCCCTGGCTATGAGTCCTCAATTCCTGTATCATTCTGATGTCAGGACTCAGCTGAGGGTCACCCAGGAGCTCGTGTGAGTGTGAGTGTGTGTGTGTGTGTGTGTGAGTGTGTGTGTGTGTGTGTGTGTGTGTGTGTGTGTGCTTGCCACCTATTTTTGGAGGCAGGTTCTCTCACTGAATCCAGAGCTCACCTACTGGATTACAGGTGGGGCTGCCTTGCCAAATCTTTCACATGTGTGCTAGGGATCCGAACTCAGGAACTCAGTGAGACGAACACTGTATCCACTAAGCGATCTCTCCAGTCCTCATACTGCTGGATTTTGTTGCCCTGATGGGGCAGCGGGGGAGGGGAGAGGAGGCAGGGGAGAAATGCTGAAGGGCCTTTTATAATCTCTCCTGGAGCAGAAAATGGTATCCAATCCAAACTCTACAATGTCATGGGAAGCGGGGTTTCCCAGAGGTTCCTACCCTGCTCTCTGCTTGGGTCTTCATGCCCCTTCCTTTATTGCGGCACGGGGGCCGGGGGGGGTCCTTTATCCTCCCAGAAGTCAGGGAAGAGCCCCAAGCTTATTAATTCCAAGGGAGTGAGGAAGAGTATGCAACCCCAGTTTTCTGTTTCAGGGAACCCCACAAAGCACATTTGGCTGGGGTCTCCCAGATCATCTCCAGGGGCTACAGACTGCAAGAGGAAGAGCCTATTGCAGGGCCCAGCCCATGATCATGCCCATGGTTTTGCTTGGTGACAATTCTCTCCTTCAGAGCCCAGGATAAGGGGTGGTGGCGGCTATGAGTGAGGACCTCAGCTCCAGGGATGGCTTCTAGAATCAGCTGGCCTCCGGTCCAATCCCCACTCCTTTTCAGACTAGCTGGGTGACAGTAATTGAGTAACGGTCTCATCCTATGCCTCAGTTTTTCCATCTGTAGAATAGGGATAAGAATAGCACCTCCCTGGAATGACCCAGGTGAGGAGCAAAGGGGCTAAGGGACACGGGGTCGGGAAGGAGCAGTTTAGTGATGGTTGCTGTTTTTGCAACCAGGCAGATCTGGTTTTGAAGCCTGCTATCAGAACTACTGTTTTATTTGGGACAAAGCCTTGACCTTTCTGAATGCCAGATTCTTTTTCTAGAAATGGGCTCTTAAGGGTGGTGTTTACCACCCAGGAAGCAGTGTGTGTAAGTGCTTAGCCCCAGCCCTGGCAAAGCACTGGTGCCCCTGGGAGTGGTAGATGCCCCATTTGGGCTCCCTGAGGTCGGATGTGACCCCCCTGCTCCCCTACAGCAGCTGTTTCACCCCAGACATAAAGACCTGGCCCCTGCCGTCTGAGGGCAAGGCGGAAGTAAGGCAGGCAGCCCCAGCAGCTTCCTCTTTTTTTTTGCCCTGCTGTGAGCCCAGGACTCCTTGTTGCTCAGAGCCTGAGAACAGGGGACTCTGCACCATGGCCTCCCGTGCAGCGCCAATCCGGCAGGCATGCTGTTGCTTCAATGTCCGAGTCGCCACCACTGCCCTGGCCATCTACCACATAGTGAGTATCGGGGTAGCTGGGGTGCTTGCTGTGTGTGTGTGTGTGTGTGTGTGTGTGTGTGTGTGTGTGTGTATGTGATGACCCCCTGAGACCTTCCAATAGGTGGATTATGCCTATCACTTGTCTGGGGGACAAGCCCTGTGCTGCCCTGGGCCGCAGCAGTCCCTTGTCAAATGGGAGCAGAATAGTGTCCTTAAGGCTGTAGGTGTGCAAGGAAAAGGGCAGGCTGCGGTTGCTCCAGGATGCTGGATCCCACGCAGCCCCGGGTACAGGACTTTCTGGGCCCTATCCTAGGGTTGGGATGTGGGGTCACCCCTTTGGGCTCCAGTAAGATTCAGGGAACCCTTTTCCTCTTAGCTTACAGCTCAGGCAAGCCACTGCCTTCTTCCTTCAAGGACAGCTCAAGCTGTGTGCTTTGGGGAACTGCTGGGTGCGAGCAGTTGACGCAGTGGCTCCTGTCATGCCACAGCATGACACCGGTCTCTCCCTTTGGAGTGGCCCAAGGTCGGGGTCTCTGTTCTATTCTGCTCAGATCTATACCCTTCCCCACCCCCATCCCCTGGCCATACTCAGCTCCCCGAAGCCGAGGTATCTTCCTGCTTCGCTGACTCAGACAGAGCCTGTGGCTAACAGCTCTCCTGGGCCTGGAAGCGCTTCCTCAAAATCAGCCTAAATCCGTAGGCTGCTGAGCCTGGTGACATCTGCTTCCGGCCACAGGCAGGGTGGCAGGGCAGTGGTAAGAACTGGCTCTGTCCCTAGGCTCTTGTGTATGCCTCCCTACCTGCCCCCATTCCTAGCCTTTGCCTTTCTGCCTCCTTAGATCAAATGAAGAAAAGGATGACAAGAGCCATGTGACAGGCTGCTGTGTGTGTGGCTGAGGTTGGTCTCTATAAAGCATGAGGGATGTTGCTTAGCACAGTGCACTGCCTTTTTATGAGTGTGCCCCAACCTGTCCATCTAGAAGAGCAGTGCTCAACCTTCCTGATGCTGCAACCCTTTAATACACACAGTTACTCATGTCCTGGTGGCCCCAACCACAAAATTATTTTGTTGCTATTCCATAGCTGTAATTTTGCTTCTGTTAGGAATAGTAATGTTAACACCACACACACACACACACACACACACATACACACACACACACACACACACACTTGGAGATAGGTGTTTGATAAAGGGGTGCCACCCACAGGTTGAGAATCGCTGCTTTGGAGACTGGCATCAGGGAGACCTCCGAGGGCATCCTACACAGCCTGAGGCAGCACAGGAGCTTAGAGAGGCTGTGGCAGTCCGTCTCTGCATCAAGTCACCCAAGCTGTTGTCTCTGAGATGGCACAGCATTCTGGGAAGGGTGTGGCGAGGGTCCTTATGCCAGCTCTGCTCTAGCCAGCTGTTGAGTTTTTGGGAAAATGCGACTGGGGGCTGCTTCCCTTTCTACAGTGGGGACCAGGGCTGTGGACTAGGGGTCGCTAACCCAGATAGATGCTGGCAGCATGCTGAGGGTCACTAAGTTGATTCAGTCGGGTGGAGGGGCTGGCGGTGGCTGGGGCCCTTGCCCATCTGCTCCTGTGGCGGCACGTCTGCCTTTGAGAGCTGCAGTTCTGTCTGATGATCTGGTATCTCAGAAATATTAAACATATCAAAAAACAAGAAAAAAGCAAAAACACCCCAGTGGACTGCGCTGCGTGACCATTAAGGTTCTTCTTGTTTATGCCATCCAAGCTCCTCGGTTGTGGATGGGTGAGTGATGTCCTGTTTCCATAGAGACCTGTAGGCTGTGTATCAAGTGATCTGGGGAAGGCTTCCTAGAAGGAACTCCATAGGTGGGAAGGCAGGGTTTGGCTGCAGTGTGGGTGGGGAACTATGGATGAGGAGCTGGGGTACAAAAGGGAGGCGTATCTGCTTCAGGGGCCCCACTGAGACCACCAGGGGGGCTGGGGGGAGGGGAGAAGTGACAAGAGCATCATGTGAAGTTGAACGTTTGTCCCTCTCCTCCAGCGTTCCTCCGATATTTGTGGCTGGGTAGGTAGGTCTTCACATTGTATGCTAACAGTCACCCTCAGCCACCATTCAGGTCCCTAGGTGCGGGCCATGATTGTGCAGACTGCAGAACCACTACCTGATATGTGAGCCATGCAGAGCCTTGGAATGTTCTAGAGTCACGGGAGGGGAGGGAACGGGACGAGCAGGCAGAAGAGCAGAGGAAGGAGCCTGGAAGGCGGATACCCATCCCAGGGACTGGGTTAGGGTACATAGCTTATCTCGCTGTTCCTTGGGCAGAGACCCCTGGTCTTTCCCAGAAGAAAAGGGCTGGGGGGGCTTTCCTTTGGTGTGGCAGGTGGCTGGCAGGTGTGCCAACAGGACCTCAAACATCTGGAGAGAAAAAGAGAAGGCACTGCCAGATGTACCCGTCACTCATGGTGGCATCATCTGGAGCCAGCCATGGGTGACGTCGCTGTACGTTGTGAGCTATTTGTGGACTTGGCCTCTGTGGGGAGGGTTGATTTGGGCCTCTGATGCTAGAGATAAGGCCACGCTTCATGGAACTGCAGGGGTGCAATTACGGGAAGATCCTACCTGGCCACTGTGGTTTGTGGTTAGGATGCTCCAGGCTCTCAGGCTCGCACACAGGGAAGTGAGAGTGCTCTCCCCCAGATGGCCTCTTGAGTCCTGCCTAGGCTGTTCTAAGTTAGTGTCAGAAAACAAGGAGGGAGGAGGAGACCCCAGAAGACCTTTTGGTAGGGAAATCCCTGGGCTCTCCCTTGCTGTATTCCTGTATTCCTGATATGGCGGGGAGGCTGACACCTGCTGTGGGCTGATGTAACGGGTGGGCTGCCACTAGCCTGTGGACTGTGAAAGCCCTGTTTTCACCTTGCTCTTCTGTATTTGCTTTATTTTACTTCATTTCTTTGAGACAAGGTCTTGCTATGAAGCCCAAGCTGGCCTAGAACTCCCACTCTTGCTTTGGCCTCCGAGCTGTGTTTATAGACGTGCTCTACCACACCCTGTTCACAACTCATGTCCCCCTTCCCTCCTCCTGCTTCTTTTATTGTGACACTGGGAAGGGATGGGACCCGGGGCCTCACACGCGCTGGGGAAATCTGCTGTCAAGGATTGCATCCCCAGCCCTCCTTTTATTTTGACACAGTGTCTTGCAAGTCGCCCAGGCTCCCTCCCTTCGCCGTCAGAACATCTGGGTTACAGGCCCGCACCGCTAGAGCTAGCACATAGACTACTTTTTAAAGCAAGCGTTTTGTTTTTGAAACCGTTTCTGACTTAGAGGAAAGTGCAGATCTATGCAGAGAGCTCCCGAGTGCTGTCTCTACACTGCCTGTGTCTCGTTAGGGGACACACCTGGGACAGTTGCCCATCAGTACTCACACACTGTGTTTTCCCTTTCTGCTCTTATCCTCTTTCTGTTTCAGAGTCCCTCTGGGACACACCATAGTGAGTGCCATCCTTCTCGAGTTCCTCTGGGCAGCAGCAGGCTCTCAGGGCCCCCAGGGTCTCTGGATTTGATGACCCGGACAGTTCTGAGGAGCTGGCTATGCCTCACTGGGGGTTGCCTGGTGGGCTGCACAGTGAGCCCAGGTACCTGTGCACCAGGGAGGGCAGCCAGTTTGTTTAAAGCACTGTGTAGAGAGGAGTTGGACTACCCACATCTCTTATCACCACTGATGGTGACATCGACCCTGTGGTGGGCATTTTTTTTTTTTTGCAGAGTTTTCTTTCTCCCTTTCCCTTTGGGGAGTGGCTCTTTGCCCAGCGCATATGCACGGAGTTGGGAGTGAGTTTCCACCTTCTGGAGGGTACACTAGACACACGAAGCCCTGGGGCTTCCTTCTGGGACAGCCGTCTATCCCCATGTGCTGTGCTGTGTAGGTGGCTTACTGGTGTATTAGGTGGGGACTCACGATACACATTGTTTCTGGTTAGCAAGTGGGGCAGCTCTAACATGTCGCTACAGCACTGCTTTGTACACAGAAAACCAGGCAGCAACGCTTTACTGTGTGCAGCATGTATACCAGCAGGAAGGGACAACGGGACTCCTCGCTAGGCCCTGGCTGGGGTAGTGTGACTGCTTGGGAGGCCTCTGTCCTCCCTCAGTCTTCTGGGATTCATTTTCTCTCTTTTAGGATCTTCCAGGTAGTTTCTTCTTCCAGGAAGCCCTGTCGCTTGCCTGCCTCAGATTCACCCTTGAACTTTATGTTGTGGGTAGTGAGAACATATTTGTCACTCACGGGGACGTGACCTTAAACAGACAGGTGTCTAGCTTTGCCACGCCGGCCTGTTTCTCCAGCTGTTAACCGAGGCTGAGGGTCTCTGTGCCAAGGGTGATTCTTTCCACGTTTCCGGCTTGGTAGTCCTGGGTGACATGAGGTTGGCATGTGAGTGACTGTCCATGGCTAGTAATGGCAACCAACCACGGAGGTCATTCCTCCTTTGAAAGCACAAGTGCTCTACAGGGATCTGAAAACCACCCCCATTGTCTCAGTGGGGAAAGCATCAACCAGCTGGCCCATTAGATAAAGAACAAAAGAACCTGGGTTCCTGATCCAGATGGAGGCGGGGAGCACAGTGGTGTTCCCTGTAGCCACGGGCTGCTACCCCAGCAGCCATGTTCTTAGATGTGGAGACCACATGTCAAGTGGGATTCTGACAGAGTCTGCCTGGGAGGGACCAGGGGAGGCTGTGAGAGAGCACATCAGCATTCAGGGGGGACCTGGGCATACAGCTGTCATAACACTCACTGCTGTCACTGAGGGGTTTTGCCCTGAAAATGGGCACACACCGTTCAGGTTACTTGTCTTAATGCACTAACAGGTCTGTGACATTTTTTATTTATAGAAACAGAACAAAGAAAGTCACAAATCTACAGACTTTCAAATGCCTTGCTGGGGACACTTTGTTACAGTCAAGCCGGGGAGGCTCTGCCATGGGCCTCAGATGCTTCTCTGGGGCATTTTTAGCTTTGGTGTTGGTGGAGATTTGGGGTCTGT